TTGCTAAGGGACATGCTACAGATACAACATTTCGAACCTCGAGGAGAGGCGCAATTATTGGTAAAGAAGGAGGACTAGTTCTATATACAGGTAAATCTAAAATCCTAAGGGGAATACCTCGAGGAATGAGGTCGAGACGAGGAGACTTATTAGCACGAGAAGACTCGGGATCTTCAGCCAAGACACTCGACATCCATGCCTGTCTATGAGCATCTTGGTCGATGCCGAAAGAAGAAACGTCCGAATGAGAATTCGGAGACTGATCGGCTGGTTTGAAGCCGACTATTTGTACCGAATCAGATGACTGAGCGCCTGCGTCGATCAAGCGTTCGACAGTATCGGGTGAGGAGTCGGTATCAGAATCTAGAAAAAGAAACGAAAGAGAAGTCGATTAGGCGAAAAGAAGTCAGCATGAAGCAAGAGTTAACACAAGTCGACTCAAGGAAGTCATTACAAGTCGAGCTAGAAGAATAGAAGGAACGCGGCGAGAAAACGGATTCAAGATAGATGGAACCACGGAATGATGCTCGACTTAGCAAAGACGAGAAGGGTGCATATCGACACATCTAACAAGAAAACCCAAGAAAATCTCTAAGTGAAGAAGATCTAACCCAAAGAATCGCACAAAAGGATAAGAACATGAAGAACATGCAAGGATGCTCCAGATCAGAAAAACCCAGAAGTGCAAAAAATCGTGAAAACCCGAAGAAAAAAGAAGAAGAAAGCAAAAAAGTTCAAAGGTCGTAGTACTTACACATGATTGCCGCTGAAAGATTTGAAGCTTGCGGTTGCCGGAGAATGGACTGCCGATGAAGCTCAAAAGCGCTTTATTGCCGGAGAGATTCGAAAGCTCGGAAGGGTTTGAAGAGGAAGTGAAAAGTGATTTGGGGCCGATGGAGCAGATATTTATACAGGATATAGGAGGATCTAAGCCTTTAGATTCAATTGGAACCAACGGTTCGGATGAATCGCGGAATTCGAGGCGGCGGAGTGATGTGATAATTACGAATTTGAAATTCGAAATTTGAAAAGATGTCAGGATTGTCAGAATTATCCAGAAGACAATGATGAAATCGCTGCAGCATCGAACAGTCACAAGGGTAGAGCTCTGATGTCGAGGAACAAAGAACGAGTATAGATAACAAAAGAAGTCGATTACCAAATTTACTCTTAAACAGTCGACTGTTTAGAGTAATTTTCGGGGGGCGGGGGGGGGAGGGGGGACTAGATGATATAGTCATATAAGGATAACCGATCTAAGAAGCTTCCTACTCGACCGGTGAGCCATTTGAACGACTCACATATCAAGGTGACTCGCCAACATGTTCAAATCGACTTCCTCGAAGTCGACTCTACCAGAAACAATCAAGAAGAGGCAGAAATCAGTCTAGTCGACTCCCTTAGGTCGACTTCTAACTATCGACTTTTGCTAAGTCGACCTCACACTAGAAGGACATCAAGAATACAACTCCCAACCATCCAGATACTCTAAGTCGACTTCCACTGGTCGACTTCCTCATGACGACTCCCTAAGAGACGACCACCGCAGAGAGTTAAACCAGGTGTAGCCTCTGAAACCGCATACATTCGTAAGTCGACCTCTTAGTGCTCAAGGTCGACCCTGTACATCTCGATGATCAAAGTAGTGAAGACGATTCACCACACTTGCAACATATCCAAAGCTTCACACATTATCAAGGATAAGAAGGAATCTTACGATGACTCAGCAACAAAGGGGAGACGAATCGACAGGGGCATTTTGGACCTTCTAGGTCCACCGACTTGGGCATTTTGGGCAATTCACGTAAGTATGCACTCCTATATAAAGGAGATGAGGTAACCCTAAACCCCAACTCTGATTCATTCCCATTCTCCCCCATAGCTGCTGCGCAGCCCTTCTTCATCACTCACATACTGACTTGAGCGTCGGAGGCTCTACGCCGGAAACACCTCCAGCGTTTAGTTTTTGCAGGTATTCTCGCGGCCTAGCAACGAATTGGAGGCGGTTCAAGCAGATCTGAGCTCACAACCACCAATTTACTTCAGATCTGGAAGTAGACCCAACAAAAAGGTAGGGGGACAGAGGGTCCCCCTGCCTAATACCCCTGGAAGAATTAATATACCCACATATCCTGCCATTCAGATTAAATGAGAAGGTAGGGCCAGAAATGCAACTGCTTATCCAATGCACAAATTTGCCATGAAACCCCATTCTACTCATAATTTTCCAAATACAATCCCACTCCACACGATCATAAGCTTTTTCCATGTCCAGGTTGACTGCCATAAACACATTAGGCCCAGATCTATGTCTATGCAAAAAGTGGAATATTTCATGAGCAATAATGACATTGTCCAATAAAAAACGGCCAGGGACAAAAGCAGTTTGGGCTTGACTGATACAAACATCCAGGCAACCTTTCAACCTCTCAGCCAGCAACTTAGCAATAATTTTATAAAGAACCCCACAAAGACTAATAGGTCTGTAGTTACTTAATGCTTCAGGATACATACACTTAGGAATAAGAGTGATAATCGTGTGTTTCCAATTTTTCAATAAATGCCCAGTTCTGAAGAAACTACAGACAGCCTTACACACATCAGCTTTGATAATATGCCAAAATTTTTGAAAGAAACAAGCAGACATACCATCATCTCCTGGGGCTTTCTCAGGAGCCATACTGAAAACTGCAGCCTTTACTTCCTCCTCTTCCACAGGTCTGATTAAATCATTGTTGAGAGCATCAGAAATAGAGTGTGGAATATATTGAAGCAGCTCATCACCCCCACTAGACCCCTCTGAAGTAAAAAGGCCTGAATAAAAATTGGAAATATGCCTCTCCATAGCCTCATGAGTGTCACATATATCACCAGAAGGGGTTTTCAGAGTGGAAATAAGGTTAGCTCTTCTCCTCTGTGATGTGAAAGCATGGAAAAACTTGGAGTTGCAGTCACCACTCTTAAGCCACAAAGCCCTAGATTTCACCCTCCAGTATCTCTCTTCCTCTTGATGAGCATTGCTTTTAGTGATGTGATATGAATAATCTATTATTATATTAAAAATAAATAAAATCCATCAACGATAAAAAATGACTATTTGCAAAAACAAAAATGACCATAGATTCAAAACGTTTTGTGACAAAGTCAACATGTGATCTCTTTGGTACATACTACCTCCTTTTTTTTATAAATGTCATTTTGGTTTTATCAACAATTGACTAAATAAATGACGTTTTGGATTTTTTGTACATATTTTTTCATTATTACCCTTATCTAGCTAATAAATACATTAAGTCTTTTCATATTCACTCTTTATCTTTTCTCAAAACATCAATCTCTATCCTCATTAATGAGGGTTATTATTGACAAAAAAAATATTCTTAATTAGTGTGCAACTTCTTAAAACGACATCTATTAAAAAAAGGAGGGAGTATTTCTTTCCCGACCTAATCATATAAAAACTTGAATTTTGGAGTATCCTTGGAAAGTCCCCAGTTTACAATTTTCTTTAGGACATATATTATAAGTAAGAAAATATATAAAATCCATAAAAAAAAATATTGTTGGAAAAACATTTGTCAATATTGCAAATCATGTTTCATTATTTCGTTAATTTTTTATTAATCTTTAAAGTTATTATGGTATCCATCTTAAGCGTGTCACTAAAAACGATGTTACTACGAGATCAAAACTCGTAATGAGCAATGTTGAAAAATCGTGAGAGAATATATTCATATATTTGTTTATTCATGCTTTATCATTTTTTCTAAGTTCATGATTTCAAGTTAGCCTATAATCTATATACTCCTTGAGACAGCTACAAAGTAATACAAAAAATATGCTAAATACATATGAAGTTGTAATAACTCATTCGATTTCTTTTCTGTTCCCCATAATTATAGTAATTTATTTATCATAATTTTTTGTAATAATATATAATTCGGATACTAAAAAAGAAAAGAAATCGTTTGAAACTAAACTTGAAACAAAATTTTAATTTTAGATATATATATCTCATTAAATTTTTTATTGCAATTTTGATTTTCTACCCATACTATCCATCAATTTTAAAAGGCGAGATTTTCATTTGTAGTGCACCAATTGATCAAAGTTCAATAAAGGCACGCCAAATTGTCTCACACCATATTTACATTTTTTTTGTCACGGCCTGGACACAAATCCAAAGTTAGTTAGTGTACGAAAATTTTTAAATGAAAATGTAGAAAGCAAATGAACTACGATTGACTTGAAATTTTGTGAGTACGACCATCTTGAGATGAAATCAAAGGTACGTCAATTCAATTAAATGGACATACGCACAATGATTAAATAAAGCCGTATAGAGAACATCCAAAATTATTTTGGATACATTAAACAAACAAATTTCGATTAAGATGAAATTTTATATTCACGACCACCTAAACGAAATGAATTCAAAGTGGACCACTCGAATTTGAGTGCTAAATTTGTGCACATCATTTAGGCGGGTACCAACTTGGTGTACTAAAATAAAATTTACCATTTAAAATTAATAGATTTTTATTGGTTAAATTAAATTTCATTTCATGGTACAATCTTAGTGTTGCGAAAATATTTTTCAAATTATCTATTTATCTTAGTTTTAAATTAAACTAATGATAATACGGTTTCAGAATAGTGATTGAAATGATATAACAAAAAATTATATAATTATGTTTGAAGTTTTAAATGCATGTCTTATAATCAACATCTTTTTTATGAATAATTTGTCTTTTTCAAATAATTAAATAATAGAAGATAAAAGAATATAATGAAAAACCAAACACAGTTGTACTAAATATATTTTTTATTGATATATGGTACCAAAATTTCATATCTATTTATGTGACCTCAGCGTGAAAAAATTTCTTTTTATTTGGGAAAGATAAGATCTTCTATTAAAAAAAAAAAAAAGTATCGTCTCTTTAGACTTTTTCACCCATTAAGAACACACCTATAAAGTACTTGTAAAACTATGCTATCAGCTTCTCATCTCCTTCTTCATTCTCTTCCGATTCCAAAATTATTTAAAATAATAGAAAAAAATGAAGCCAACTATGGAAAATATAAGACTCATTATTTTCTCTATGATTCTTCTTGCATGCCTAACATCAAATAGTAACGCCCTGAAAAGGCAAAGCGAAGCTCTTTTCCGTTTAAACAAAAACAAGTTCAAAACTAATACACACATCGACAGAATGCCTTTCAGCCCTATTGCCGATTTCCCAGAAGAAGGAATTCTATCACAGCAAGGGTCAAAAAAGAAGGACTTAATAAGACATTTGCCCGGGCAACCAGAAAACGTTCCCTTCAACCAGTATGGTGGATATGTCACTGTAGACGTTGCTGCCGGACGATCTCTCTTTTACTACTTTGTTGAGGCTGATATGAAAATATCGAGCCAATTGCCGCTTGTTCTCTGGCTCAATGGAGGTGTGTGTGCCTTTCTTTCTTTCTACATTTCGATAATTTCTCAAACTTATTATCAATTTGTTGCAGGACCTGGTTGTTCTTCTCTTGGTTTAGGAGCAATGGAGGAATTGGGTCCATTTCGGGTTCACAGTGACGGGAAAACACTCTATGAAAATGAATATGCATGGAACCGTGGTACGCTACCGTTTCCCATAATCGATACATAATTCGCATTCATATTTTTCTTTTTTGCCTTTTTATTTTTTTTTTATATTTTGATCTCTTGCCAGCTGCAAATGTGTTGTTTTTGGAGACACCTGCTGGAGTTGGGTTCTCTTACTCAAAAAACAAGAGTGATTTAGAGAGTAGTGGTGACAAAGAAACGGCTATTGATAATTATGTGTTTTTGGTAAACTGGTTGGAGAGATTTCCAGAATACAAGGACAGGGACTTTTATTTAGCTGGGGAAAGTTACGCTGGGCATTATGTGCCCCAGTTGGCTCAGACCATTCTCTACCACAACCAAAAGGCCAAAAAAACTATTATCAATATGAAAGGGATAATTGTAAGAAGCCTATTACTTTACACTTGTTACTACTAAAGTAAATATAACTACGAAACAATGAGTACAGTACTATTTGATAGAATTTTTACGTAAAACTAAGAAAAAAAAAAAATTCTTCTTATTCTCAAAATGAACCACCCTTACCTTGTATACCTTTGTAATTTGGTCCTAAAATTGTCATTTCTTTAACTATTTTTATTGTTGAGCAACTTATTTCTGGTTCACTCTTTTTGATAATAATTATCAAATTTACCATGACAGATGCTCTTTTCCCTTGAGTTAATTAGGGACATCTTTACATAATATTATAATAGCTTAATTATAAGATGTAACATAATGCATCTTTAATGAGCTATGAGCAACATTATAACTAACTAATTCTTACGTTAATTGTATCCAGATTGGGAATGCTGCGATCAACGTGGAGGATGATCACATAGGGATGTTTGAATATTGGCAAACTCATGCTTTGATTTCTAATGAAACATTGAATCAAATTTTGAAATATTGTGAATTTTCTCTCAACGTTTCGGATAAATGCATCAAAATTTTGCATCGAGTTTATCATTTATTTGATGAAATTGATGTTTATAATATCTATGCACCATTATGTCTCAATCCAAACCTCACCAAAACGCCCAAGGAGGCTTCAGTAAGTAATGGGATTAATATACTATATATACATAAATCCATAATAAATTCTCTATTTTTTTCCATATATCATTATCTTTATCATTATTATTTATGAAATTAATTGACGATGCAGGTACTTAATTTTGACCCCTGCAGTGACAATTATGTATATGCATACCTCAACAGACCTGAGGTTCAAAAGGCACTTCACGCCAATGGCACCATGAACATACCCTATGATTGGGATACTTGCAGGTATGGTTATACCTTCCTATCTTCATAATTATTTTATATATTCGACCTCGCCAATCTAATGTAATATGGATTGCAGTTAGTCGATTTTGGTTAACCAAACTTGGTTATATTTTTTTGGTATGTTACACTTCTATGTGAGTGTTATGTACATTTTTATGTGCATTTAATTATATATATGTAGCATTTTTCGTTTGTTTATACCCTATCGACAAGAAGGGTAAAAATGAGCATTTTTTTAATTATATATGGAACATAGTAAGAGGATGAATTGTTGAATATTTTTTGGTTACTTAAATTGGTTGAATATGTTGCTTCAAATTTTAGAATACAAATAGGGTGAATTAAAATTTGCATCTTGTACTATGTCATTTAAGGCCTTCATAATAAAATATTTTTTAGGTAAAATGCAACAAGAATCTTATAAAAAATTATAATTTGATATCTATCATACATTTTAACCATATAAGTGTACAATTTAGCATATGATTGTAAAGTCATGATGTACGAGATGTTGCAACTCTTGTGATTGTTCATTAGGTTCATATTGCATTTCACCACAAACAATACTTTATTTTGCAAACGTAAAAAAACTGACATAGCACAGATTGTATACTTATTTCCATGCGAAAATACTACAAGTTGATTCCAAAATATAACTTTGACGGTGCACTTTATAAATTAATTTTATAAGTTATTCCTTATTCGCATAATCATTATGTCTTATACATTGTGTATGTAATAAATATTTATACATATATATTACACTAACTAGTTAAATAATTAGCTGAAAATACTATATGTGAATATTTACAGCAATGTCCTCATGAATTGGACAAACAGCGCAGACACCATCCTTCCTATTCTCCACGAGTTAATGGCTAGAGGGATTAAAGTTGTTATATACAGGTAAATAACAACAAATTAATTTCTCATACTAGAAAGTAAAATATAACACGACATAATATTCTCAAACAAAAAAATTACCCACTCATGATTTAATTAATTTGATAAAAAAAAATTAGATATTATGAGTGAAACAATTTTTTGATTAAGTCGGTCTAACTATTAGGCATGTCCCCCATTATATTTTTATAATAAAGATGCATATTTATAAGAAATGTTTTATTTTGTTTAGTTTTTCTTAGAGTGTGAAATTTCACTTTGAAAGTATGAATATATGTTGATAATGAATGAGTGTTTAACAGTTAGATTTGATTATAAGTTAGGCCTACCTACCGTAGTCTTACTGAAATAATTATAAGTAGTAGGATCTCCCTTGAAATTACTTTTGTAATATTAACAAAAGACTTGTTTAGTGACCGCTTGTCGTTACACGGCAAATTTGAATTTATAATTTTTCCTAACTTACCCCTACTAACAAGTAGCAGTGGCGAGCAAGGGTCGATCCCACAGGGAGTGTGGTATAAACAGTGAATTTATTATATTAATTAGATTAAAATAAAAATGGAGGGATTTGATTTATTACGAAACTACTAGCAAAACAAGAAATAAACTAAAACTAAAAATAAATGAATTATATGCCAAAGATGATGAAACCGAAAATAAATAAAAATAATCTAGCAAAGATGAGAATGAAATCGGTTCCAGGTCGGTCTACACCCTCGAATAACTAGCCCAATTAATGCTTTTATCAAAATTCACTCGTCTTCTAAAACTACCGGTCCTAGATAGCAACAAGCTCTGCTACCCGAATTTTCCCTTAATTTATACTTAATCGAAATAGGCACTTCAATTAATTCTAACTAGCGAATAACTCGGAATAAGCTCTCCTAATTTAACCCACTAGCCGCATTCAAATCTAGGAAAATAGACCGATCTAAGCCACAAACACATAAGCTCGGTTCATGTAACTTATGTTGTGCTATCCCTAACAATGCACGACTGTTAGTTGCTACAAACGAAATAAGAGCGACGACAATTACGGATCGAAGCCTCAAATCTAGCAATTAACATGCAATTCCTAACTTAGGTGATCAAGCTAAATTAAAAATCACACATTATGACATGAAACTAGAATAACATAAACAATTTTATACGACGAGTAAAACGAAATAAATCGCATTAATCAAACATAGTATTCGAGGGTTCAACGTCCCTAGAACCGAATAAAATATTAGCTACACATAGCTAAATGATAAAAATAAAAATAATAATCCATGTTCTTTAATCAAAATAAAGAAAAGCAAATAAAATTAAATCAAACTCCTTTGAAATCCCTCGGCCGAATTATCTTCCCGAAACAAATAAATCCTTGGAGCCCCGCAACCACTCTCGGCCAAGTCCCCCTGCTTCAAGAAAATTCTTCCTTCTCTTTTCAATTAATTAATCTAAGTCTCCCACCAAATAAAAACTCCTCATGCCAAGTTAGCCAATAAAATGAGAGTCCATATCCCAATTTCCTATCCCTCAGCAGCACTCCCGCATAAGTACACCATCCATGGGAATTAATTAATTTCCTTTGTCAAACTTGGTCAACTCCTCATAGAATTAGAACAAAATATGTCTCTTTTCTTTTTAAGTCCTTGGCCATGTCGAAATTAAACCCATGTCATCATCTATATGGCTGCCACCTCCTCAATATCACATCACAAATAGGTGTAATAACTGCAAAATAGAAATAAAATCAAATATTGGTGTATGTCCGTTCATAAAATAAAATATGTGAGAAAACTTGAATAATACACTAAAATCAAATACTCCAATATATAAATTAAACCCCAAAATAATACAAGATTTCTCACGTATCAAATCTCCCCAAACTAAAACATTGCTTGTCCCCAAGCAACATATAACTAGAACACAAAGAACGGACAAAACAAACAAGTAGGTGGAATTTTCGCTCAGGTCCTCACACTTCTCACAAAGTGCATAGCTACAACTTCTCAAGTTAATAACCCCGGACTCGAAATGAAATCACCTTCAGAACGCCAACAATCAAATATCAATTCAGTGAATTACCGCAGCTCATCAATCTATTCACCGAGTATACCAATCATGCAACTAACGACATCCCTTTCTTTGCCAACCGGTTTAGTTCCTCTTCGCTTCTAGCCAGAAATCAAAAGTCTCACTTTTTTTATTTTTTTTTATTATTTTCATTCTTCCATTTTTTTTCTTCTTCTTTTCTTTTTTTTTGGGAACGGCAGCTCCGTCACAGTCTAATTGGCTATTCGTGCTAGAGTGTTGCACTAAAGCTTCACAGACTGGCAGCTGTTGCAGCCCACGATTTTTTTTCNNNNC